TTGGTACGCCATAAACTCGTCGTGGGGCAAGAGGATTAATCTGTCTTCCGGCGGGAGCGAGAAAGGAGGAACTAAAAGGGGGGAATCGGACGACAGATGGGCCGCTTCTACGATATCCTCCGGAGAGACACGTCCGGTGTTGTAGGCCCGCTCCAGTTCCGCCGGATCTGCTGTGGCGATGTTGTCCAGCAAATCATCGACGGTGAACTCCATGGACATGGGGGGGCTCTCGTCTTCTGCACCGGCCGCTGGAAACTGCTCTGCGGTGGGAGCCTCGCCCTTGGGTTCGTAGTCGAGGATTCCCACATTGTCGCCCAGGAGTTCCACTTTGCCGCTGGACGTGGTGTCCTCTTTGTTAACAAGAACAGGGCCAGAGAGAGGGTAGCTACGATCGATGTTGAAAAGGGCAGCAAGGCCAGAAATAGTAGATGTAGGATAACCAACCGCAGTTGAGGCAGCAGCACCAAGAGCAGCAGAAGCAGTAAAGCCGGGTGCAACTTCGGGAAGAGCAAGCCGAGGTCCACGCGAATGGCGGAGATATCCACAAGATAGCATACGCCCAGTGATAAAAGCTTGGTCCACACGAGGTTGAAGCGGATCCAACCAAGCAGAAAAAGCGTACAAAAGCACACCATGCCACGCACAAACAGCAGTAGAAGCTAGCACAAAAGGGCCCGTGTTGCATGGAGACACGAGGTTTTCCGACCAAGAGACACGCAGAGCAGCACGGCGTTCCTCCGCAACTGGTGCCGAAGTGCGAGCAAAGACCGCTGTGGGTTTGCGCTGTTGAAAGGTTTCCAATTCAAATGCTTTGAGGGTGAACGATTCCCCGAAAAAAAGTGCCATGTGATTTCGAAAAATGGAGGGAAGGCTGGTGGGGCGGCTGACACTCAATTTGTGTGCACACATCGCGTTCCAAGTCGATGCAAGCGGAGTCAAATCGGAGAACACAACAGGAAAATCCGCGAACATCGGCCAGTACGCCGGCATGAATGCAGTAGAGGTGGTAGCAGACGTGGGAAGCATGCTGTCATCTCGGGTCCCACTACACAAGGCCAGCAACCCAGGACGCTCCATGCAGAGGGTATCCGCCACAGAAATCACTTCATGGACCGCAGATGCAGACAAAATAGCTTTCGAGGGACGGCGAACGTACGAGAAATCACCCAAAACATCGCGATGGCCTCCGAGGCGCGTATCGTTTGCAAGGTCCCAGTCCCGCGGGTATTCGCAATAGCATCACAAGCCAGCATCTCTACAGGAGGGGAAGCAGAGAAGTGGCTAAGTCTAGATTCTCGTGGGTGGTGAGACCAAAAAACAAGCAACCCGGTGGTTGTGAAAATAGCGTGGCAACAACACACAGCAGTGTGGAAGCCGCGTCCAGCACCCGCTTACCGTGTAATGCCAGCTGACGCCAAGTTTCAAGGAGTGAAGCCGTGGGCGGTAGCTTGCTCCTAGAGATAGATGAAGGTTCTGTCGTTGACACGCTTGTCCACGACCACGTTGAGATGGAAAAGTTGCTTGTTATTGCTGAGAGACGATCAGCAAAGGGATGAAGTGGGGATCCAACTTCATCTCAGGGGGTACACAGAGTAGACAATTCTTAGGGGGTAGGGATCAGAAGGGTATACCTCTTTGCCGCGATGCTCATGGTCGCCGTGGCCGAGTTCGACAAGGACCCCAAGGTGACGGCGGACATGGTCAAGATCGGGACACAAGTGGAGTACACGGGCAAGAAGGGCAGGTCGGCGGGGAGGAAGACGACGGTGGTGACGGACGCGGAGGCCTTGTGGGCCATGCTCTACGCTGACGACGCGGCCATCGTCTCGCGCTCGCCGGAGAGTCTCGAGAAGATGATGTCGGTCATCGTGCGCGTGGCCGGCCTGTTCGGACTGATGGTGTCGGAGCCAAAGACGGAGATCATGTGCATGCTGCCAAAAGGGATCGAGGAACGCCCGTTCACGGTCAGCGCCGCCGGCCAGACGTACAAGCAGACAGATCGGTTTGTGTACCTCGGACGTACCATCTCC